GTGCGGTGGCACGGGCGCTAGGCGACGGCGGAGCAGCACGGTGGCGCGTAGGCGAGAGCAGCTCCGCTGCAAGCACGAGAGAGAGCGGTAGAGAGTGAATGTGGGCGTGGGCGTAAACGAGCAGACGCGGGGCGCCTTTGTGCCCATCGTGGGCTGACCAGCCGGGCCGTCGATGGTGTACGGCCACCACGCCATGGTCTGTGGCTCTGACATGGTTGGCCACCCATGGCGAGACGATGTGGCTATCCGAGCCCGATGGCCAACCCCGACAAGAAATCAACCCATCCAAGCTCCTAAACCGTGATTAGTTAGCACAAACTCTATTAATAAAAGTTAGAGATCTAAGTGAAGGCTACAAAATTGCTTTAGAACTCATCTCCTAATTCGCAATGGTTAGGGAATTAAATCATCACAAAGTAGGACACATCAACACTGGAAAAGCAGTTAGACTTAGAAAAATTTTCAAGTTTGAAAAACAAAGACTGAGTTGATTTTTCTTATCCAAATTCAAGCATGTTAGAGCTGAACTAGCCTATGACCCAAAAAATGAAAGTTGTTACACTACTTGAGTTCTACAACTTTGTTTTAGGGTGCACAACCATGCAAAGTTTCTAAAGTGATATTCCACTCCAGTCAAACATACAACTTGAAAATGATGATTTACACTATAGCTATAACTTAGAGACCAAACTAGTCTTAGTCATGAATACCAAAGTTGTTCCATGTGATATTATAAACATGTTTAAGGTACTCCTAGGGTTCCACAATCATTTTATATATTGGTTACATGTAAACCCTAGTATATGTAAAGCATTTTAGTGACAATGCATGCACTATAAGCAAACATAGAGATAATATTTAAAATACTCATGCTCATGAATGATCAATGATGTTTGTACTCATGCAATGCCAAGGCTAAATGCAAACTTAACACCTAGGGTGTTACATATCCAGGCCGTGATCCAATACCACGTGGAAATTCTTAGAGTGAGGCTCCCTAAAAGTGCGGCAAGAACCATGAGGTCAATTTTAACAATACTTGAAGGTAAATATAGAACATTAATACTTATTTTTTTAGATTAATTATGCTTAATTTTATCTTTTTATATGTCATATACTTGATGACGTAGGTGCATCCATGGTGGTGTGCCTATGATCTACAATGCTAGGCTCGGATAGTGGACAGGTGGTGCGACCCCGCGTGGGAGGAGAATCACAACGCTTGCCGGGAGCGGAGTTTGCTGATGCCGGGTGCACTACACCATCAAGGCAACCTCAACCTCTCAGAATACGTGGCTAGATGGGTACGCTTAATTCATTTCTTTATTCTAACGCTCAACTCTCTGACATAATTTCTAATCATATTGCTTTTTTTACAATCGACGGCACATGGTGGTGAGCCTTTCTCCTAGTTCATGGCATATGCTTTGGCCCACAAGGGCAAGGCGACGGTCAATGTCGCCTACAACCCAGAGGACCCACCCTCGGCAGACAAAGAATAAGTCCGTCCACAAATGCCTCGAGATACACATCGATGGCAAGGGCATCCATGGCCCAAAGTATGATCCGAAAGCACCCATGACCTTGATGGAGAAGTGGTCATGAGGGCAGGAGGAGGCAAGAAGCATGGCCTGCTTCTGGATTGGTGACGGCACAATCGACACGGTCAGTACTCCCACTCTCCTAGATTCGAGCACGGAGCACGAGTTCTAGCCCCGCGATCGCCTACAGGGCCGGACTCTACACGGTTCCGGATGAACACACTCCAAAGTTATTTCTGCTTTTATTCAGCGTTCATATATTTTACATACTTTTACATTGCATTGTAACATTGGGATAAAATATTGTAGGCTCACTAGAACAAGAAACGAGACATCGGGAGGAGCTAGAGGCGAAGATGGAGGCAGAGCGGCAGAGGCGGAGGCGGGCGAGCGATAGAGGATGGAGGCGAGAGCGGCCAGCAGATGTTTAAATATATGAGGGGTTTACGCTACAATCGGTCAATCTCCGCCACCGATGTCAATCCTCCTCCTCAACCTCGCTCCAAATACTTTTTCGTGCAATCGTGAGTCACTTTTACAATCTTATAATCACCGTTTCTAATTTATGCGAAATCAATCTTACAAAGATGCCTGCACACTAGAAACTTAGTGACTAATGCTATATGTTTGTTACCAACTAGTACTTAAGCAATCATACTAGAGCATAATGCAACCGAGAAGATATTGCTTGAGAGTTGCAAGGGTTATACTAGTCGAACAACAGAGAGACCATACATGTTGTTTAATCTTGTCTCACACATGCAATCTCTTCTCCTTTGTGTAGAATCAATCGTGCAGCATCGAATGAGCCTCATGACCCAAACGTGGTCGTAGTGGAACCCATGGCCTAAATGACTACTTGTGATTTTATTTGCATTTGCATTTATGGATTATCTGTGATTACTTGTGACTATTTGTGGTTGTGAATGAACCTACTAGTAATTCTGAAGTTTATTTGCATTTATGTGTTGTCGATATATCTATATGAACGCATGTGATGCTTATTATGAACTATGTGTGATGCATGTAATGTTTATTTGAGTAGGGTACGTTATAATGTGACCGAACAATAAAAAAAAGGGAATATATGAGTCGTTTTGCCGAGTGTTACACTCGGCAAAGAAAGGTCTTTTGCCGAGTGCCGTGGTAAAACACTCTGCAAAGCGGACACACGTGCAAATTTCTGCATTCCGAATAATGAGCTTTTTGCCGAGTGTCTCATAGTTGTGACACTCGCAAAAAGAAGCCAACATTTGTACGATCTGGTTGATCTTTGCCGAGTGTCCGTGATTTGACACTCGACAAAGAAGGCAGTTTCTTCGAGTGCCCGGATTTGACACTTCAAAATAAGGCAGGTTTGCCGAGTGTCAAATCTCGGGCACTCGCAAACGCTGCCGTGACCGCCTCCGTGCCGCCGAGTTATTTTTTTCGCCGAAGCGCCGCTTTAGCTCTCTCGCAAAGTGTTTGTCGAGTGCCGATAAAAAACACTCGGCAAAGAGAGCGCCACCGGTCTCAGAGATGTCGTGTGTTTGTTTGTCGAGTGTTACACACGGCAAATCCTTTGCCGAGTGTTTTATGGGCTTTGCGAGTGCTCGTGGGCACACGGCAAAGCCACACGCTTCGATAGTGCAGAAAATTACAGTACTAGGCAAATCAGGAAAAAAATCCAATTGTGCTTGAATACTAAAACAAAATATGACCACTGCCCAACTAGACCAATATAAATTTACATGACTAGAATTATTTAACCACTTCATCTTGTCTTACAAAAAGAAAGAGAATTCTACTCGATCAAACTCTCACCCATCTAGTTCCCAAGGAAGGTGTCCACTTTAGCATTCACAGACCTCGACAAAAACTTGATGCAAATAGGAGGGTTCACATTGGCTAGAGAAAGAACAGCCTGGGGCAGTGCCCAGAGCCCATCACCACACATCAAGCCTGATGCAACGGCCGGTGCGAACGAGTCTGCTTCAGCTTTGTTCTTCCATTCCCAAACGAAGAGTATCACACTGCCCAAGAACATATCAATAGCGAAGTATGGTCCAAGGTAGAAAGGAATTGCTGCTGCCATGGGGATGGGGATGAACTTCGCAACCTTCTGTGGCACCAGATCCTTGATCAAATTGATGGCGAAGGAAATAGCAAAGAAAATGTAGCATAGCGTGAGGCAGTTCTTTGGAAGCAAGGACAGTCCATCCACGCCCAGGATTGACATATTACGGTACATGATGGCGTAAGGTGCTGGATAAGCGCCGCCAGTAGCACCAATATCAAAGGACTTGTAAAACAACCAGAAGACACATGGTGCAGTAACACATCCAATGGCAGTGCCTATCACCTGGCTGATGAACATGGACCTTGGCGAGGCTAGAGTCAGGTACCCGGTCTTGAAGTCTTGCATCAGATCAGAAGCTGTTCCCACAATGCTCATCATGACACCGCATGCAGCTAATCCAACAAGCACTCCGCCATGTGAAGCCCCGGCCCATGCACCAATGACAAAGATTGCAAGCTTGCCATAGGTGCTGGCGAGGACCAATCTGTTAGGCCGCATCCATAGGCATTGCAGAAGGCTAGTATAGGTGCAAAGATGTATGCCACCAAAATGTGGTACCACTTGATCTGGGGGATGACGAGAGGGAGACAGCCGATCGTTATAGCTGCCAGACAGACATAACCACCCAAAGCAACTGACTTGGGAATCTGATCCTTAACGAATAGCTCAATGCGACGCTTGTCGTCAAATGACTCAGTTTCAGTTGTGGCGGAGGGGCCCCATTGTCGGACACAGGAAGTGCGTTTGCATGTTTCTTCCAATACATTGATATGAATGCTCTTATTGTGTGACCGAATACTTTCAAGAAGTTGTACAGGCCATCCCCAAGAATTACGGCTATGGTTATAAACACCTGCAATTATACGTCGTCAGTTCTTAGTAGCTGTGAAAACGCAAAATTCTGAATTCTAGTATGACCCATTGTAATTTATTTATTTTTTGAATGAAATCACCAACTGTAATTCACCTTGTAACCATTAAGTCCGTGTAGACTGCTATCAGGAAGAGATTCAGGGTACCAACTTCCTTTCTTTGTGCTGATAAGTGGCCACATTATCCCACGAAATGATGCCTCCAAGAAGAAGAGACACATTTACAATATATGGGCATATCATTCCAACACCAACATAAGTAGCTGAGAAATCAAAATAAAACCTGTAAAACAGCAAATATTTTTTTATAAGTAATTAAAGACAATGGAATTATAACAAATCATATATGAGATCATAATATCATAAAAATAACAATAACCAGAAGACAACTCCTAAGCTAGATAGACTAAATAAAGACTGCATGCATTAGTCCATGACTGCATGGTAATATAATAAAAGAGTGTGGAGCTACTCTCTCAAAAAATTTAGCATTGTTTGAATCTGAGACCGGGATGTAGTGGTACTGACTTGTTTTTGTAAGCTTCAAGGCCGAGTGATGGGAAGGAAGCGAATCCACAATCATCCCCAGCTGTGTAGAACCACTGGAAGAAGGCCCAAAGGAAACTGAGTGAGAAGTACTTGCCCAAGGTTCGAACTTGCTTCCTGAAATAGATTACATTATTATCAATATAAACACATGTTGATTTTAATAATGACAGGCTAGCAGAGTTCATGTTGCCTACTTTGCACGTTCGGCACCCTGGGGTGTGTGGAATCCGTTGATGAGGTAAGCGGTTGCAGTTCCACTAGGGTAGGTCAGTTTGTAATCGACAATCATAACCTGAAAGCATTTACTTCAGTTGACATAACCATAGAAAGGTTGTTTTAACATACTGTTATCCCTCAAGAATTAGTGTGAAAAGAAGCATCTACCTTTCTCAGAGGAACCAGAACGAAAAGTCCAACAAAACTGACGAGGAACATAAACCCTATCATCCATCCGAGGTGAGGATCCTTGATATTCTGGGCATCATTGGCCTCTGTTGCTTGCTCAGCAATGCTTCGACTCATACCAAATAGGTAACTGCCAAACCCACCTGTTCAATTGGAATTTTGTGATGAATTAAGGCTAAAATTTTATATTGTTTTATTTGAGATTTCACAATTCGAAAAGTAACAAGAAAATCTGTAGCAATCATCATGCAATGGAAAAGCTAAAAGAATTCACAGTCTTGCCCACAGTCGGAATTTTTAATCTCTGATGAAAGATCCACCATGTATATTTCAGATCCCCATGTTTATCGATATTTGAAATCTGTTTCGTGAAAAGTCAGTATTCTTCTCCCTATAAAAGGGAGTTGTGAATACTATTGTGCATAGATCTAATCTGTAGATTCAATCTCAGAACAGAAAAAAAAAAAAAGAGCCGCGCTTTTCCACTGGTGATGCACCGAAATTTTTTGATCTAACAAAATTGACGAGGAAGAGAACGCAGAGAAACAACCTAATTAGTAATGACGAAAGCACTCTGGGGTTTGGGGGTTTTACCACTAAAGGCGAGGCCATAGGCGGAGACGACGCAGGTCTGGATGACGGTGTTCTCCTGTCGCGTAAAGGGCTGCTTGAGCAAGCCCATGCTCTCGATTGCTTTCGTCCAGAGGTGGACGAGGAAGAAGCCGAGAAGGCTGGCGGAGACGTTGAGCGAGGGGATGACGCCGGTGGTGAGATTCAGCTTCATTACGATGACGCTGAACAAGATGGAGAGGATGAACCCCACCACGAAGGCGCGCACCGTCAGCTGTTCCTGCCACGACGGCACGGGCTTGTCCGCGAACGCCTGCTCCACACCGAGGCCACCACCACCTCCTCGGCATTGCCGGCCCCGTCGTCGTCGTCGTCCGCGACCGCAAGGCCGCCGGCGTGGCGTCGCCGCAGCAGGCTGGCGCCTGACTCCAAGGCGTCGGCTCCCGCGCTGGCGGCGGCGATGCCAGTCGCCATGGTGGTTGTCTAATGGTTCGTGATGACTCGGTTGATGCTTGGTAATCGGCGTATTTATTGGAAGCTAGTTGGAATCCAGTTGCGTCACGATCGGGCTCCGGGATTCTGGTGGGCAGCGGGCTGGTGCTGGTAGCAGCCCTCCGATCGGGATTGCACGACCCAGATGTTCTTTCGCTTGGAGAAGGGAAATTCGAGTCAAAACGTTTTGGTTTACCCTTGCAGATATCGACGATATATGACGAGATACAGTTGTGAAATTGAAATTTGAACCCAGGTAACATACAGCTGTTGGGTGTTGGTACCATATTGCTGACGCGTATACGGCAAACCTTAGTTTGGCAATTCCGATCCTACGACCAGTGTACTTACTCATGTACAGCAAAAGCAGATCGTGACGAAACAACATTTACCCGTCCCGGTACATTTTACAGCATGGTGCATCAACACAATATACACTTGTGATTCATGCTGACTGCTGACAGATCGTAATTTTCACAGCTTAATTTCCGAGGAAGCCGTCCACTTGGGAGTTCACCGACCTGGACAGGAACTTCATGCAGATCGGCGGCTTCACCTTGGCGAGCGCAAGAATGGACTGCGGCAGGGTCCAGATGCCGTCGCCGCAGATCAGCCCGGACGCAACCGCAGGCCCGAACGCGTCGGCTTTGGCCCTGTTGATCATCTGCCACGCGAAGAGGATCACGGTGCCGACGAACATGTCGATGGCGAAGTAGGACCCGATGTAGAATGGGATGAACCTGGCGACCTTCTTCGGCACCAGGTCCCTGATCAGGTTCACGACGATGGCCGCCGCGAAGAAGATGTAGCAGAGGGTGAGACAGTTCTTGGGGAGCGACGAGAAGCCGTCCACGGCGAGGATGGCCATGTTCCGGTACACGATGGCGTAGGGCGCCGGGTACTCGCTGACGCTGATGCCGATGTCGGTGAAGGCCTTGTAGAAGAGCCAGAAGACGCAGGGCGCGATGACGCGGCCCATGGCCGTGCCGATCACCTGGCTGATGAACATCGACCTGGGCGACGCCAGCGTCAGGTACCCGGTCTTGAAGTCCTGCATCAGGTCGGCGGCCGTCGACACGATGCTCATCATCACGCCGCAGGCGGCGAGCCCGCCGAGGACACCGCCGTTGGACGCGCCAGCCCAAGCGCCGAAGATTAAGATGGCAAGCTTCCCGTAGGTGGACGCGAGGGACCAGTCGGTGAGGCCAATCCCGTAGGCGTTGCAGAAGGCCAACACAGGTGCAAATACGTATGCGACCAGGATGTAGTACCACTTGAGCTGCGGGAAGACCTGAGGAAGAGTGCCGACTGAGATGGCAGCGACAGCCACGTACCCTCCATAGGCAACTGATCTGGGGATCTGATCTTTCAGGAACAGCTCCGTGCGGCGTTCGTCATCAAAGGAAACAGCTTCAGTGATGGGGCTGCCATTGTTTGAAACCGGAAGTGTGCTGTTTTCTTCATCATTGATATAAACGCAGTGGTAGTGCGAATGAGCACCTTCACAAAGTTGTACAGGCCGTCTCCAAGAATTATAGCGATGGATATAAAACCTGCACTAGTCAGGAATTTCCAGATTAGCAGCTTGGATGATTATAACAGGTGTTAAAACTAAAGATGGATGATTGTATGGATCTTTACCTGTAACCTTGCAGTCCATGAAGACTGCTTTCTGAGAGACTGGCTGGGTACCAACTCCCTTCTTGTTGCGAATGAGAGGCCACATTATTCCCCAGGAAAGTATGCCTCCCAGTAGAACAGACACGTTCACAATGTGCGGGCATATCATCCCAACTCCAACATAGGTAGGAGAGAAATCGAAGTAAAACCTGAACACGAAATTAGAAGTTCAGTATGGAAGCCATTTCATCAGTGTCCTAAACTGGTACATTCAGAATGCTATAAGCTACCGTTAGATAATTATTTGCGCCAAGCAATAGTGAATGCTATTTTTCTGAACCAGGATAGTTCAATGCTCTGACCTGTTCTTATAAGCTTGAAGGCCTAATGTAGGGAAGTTCTGAAATCCACAATTATCTCCACCAGTGTAGAACCACTGGAAAAAGCCCCAAAGGAAGCTATACAAGAAGAATTTCCCAAGAGTTTTTACTTGTTTCCTCGTCAAGGACATGTACAACAATGTTGTGACCAGTGTTCGAATAAACGATGGTAACACAGATTACTTTCCGATTAAAATTGGACTTCATTAAGGGTCAGCCTTAAGCCCGTATCTCTTTGCCTTGGTAATGGATGAGATTACCAGGAACATACAAGGGGATATCCATTGGTGTATGTTGTGTATGTTGTTCGCTGATGATGTAGTGTTAGTGGACGAAAGCCAGATAGGAGTAAATAGAAAACTAGAGTTATAGCGACAGACCCTTGAGTCTAAAGGTTTTAGATTGAGCAGAACTAAAAGGAATACATGAGATGCGACTTTGACGGAGTTGTACAGGAGGAGGGAGATGTGAGTTTGGAAGGTCAAGTAGTGTCTAAGAAGAATATCTTTCGGTATCTGGGATCGATGCTACAGAGGGATGGAGATATTGATGCGAACGTTAGCCATAGAATCAAAGCAGGATGGATCAAGTGGCGACAAGCTTCTGGCATTTTCTGTGACAAGAGGGTACCACAAAAGCTAAAAGGCAAGTTCTATAGAATGGCGATTAGACCGGCTATGTTGTATGGAGCAGAATGTTGGCCTACAAAGATTCGACATGTTCAACAACTGAGTATTGAAGAAATGCGTATGTTGCGATGGATTTGTGGTCACACAAGAATGGACCGAGTTCGGAACGATGATATACGTGATCGCCTAGAGGTAGCACCAATTGAAGAAAAACTTGTCCAACATCGGTTGAGGTGGTTTGGCCACGTCCAAAGGAGACCTACAGAGGTACCAGTGCATTGTGGAGTCCTAAGCCAAGCTAATAATATGATAAGAGGTAGAGGAAGACCGAAATTGACATGGGGGGATAATAAAAAGAGATTTAAAAGCTTGGGATATACCTAGATATTTATGTTTGAATAGGAGTGCTTGAAAAGTAGCTATTGAAGTGCCTGAACCGTGATTTGAGACTCTTGGTGGGTTTCAAGTCTAGCCTACCCCAACTTTCTTGGGACTGAAAGGCTATATTGTTGTTGTTGTTTTTTTTTTTTTACTTGTTTCCTGAAAAATACAATTTATGCATTCAGGAACATTGCTTTACGCCTAGTGCCACAGATAATAATAACTAAAACAGCAAGGAAAACAACACCAAGACAATTTACTTTGCAAGCTTGGCACCCTCTGGCGTGTGGAAACCATTGATGAGATAAGCAGTTGATGTGCCGCTAGGATATGTAAGCTTGTAGTCAACAATCATAACCTGTACCGATGATTTCAGTTGATGATTAGTTGGTATGTGCTATATAATGATGCTACAAGAATATTATGCACAGAAACGATTGAAATGTTTACCTTTCTTAGAGGCACAAGAACAAATAGGCCAATAAAACTGGCAAGGAAGAGAAACCCTATCATCCATCCGATGTGAGGATTTCTGACATTTTGAGGATTGTCAGCCTCTGTTGCTTGCTTGGCGATCGTTTCGCTCATGCCAAACAAGTATGTGCCAAATCCACCTATCAGTCAGAATGGATTAGTACACAATTTAGCACATTTCTTTTCACATAAAGATGAGGATAGGAGAAAGTGACACTGCTCCTGACTCCATTTAAAAATAAATAAACAGATTTACTTGACGGCAGTTGCTTGCTATCCACCTTCCTCCTCCGTCCGATTTTTCCTCCTCTTGGGTATTCGCTGTCCATCCATCCGTCCATTCCGTCCGTCGGTGTTCTTCCTTGGCTTCTCCCTCCAATCCCTGTAGCCCACCTGCCATCGTGTTCGCCGGCCGTCTGGCTAGCTAGCTAGCTGGGCTTTGGTTCGCGCCATTGCCGAGGAGGTCCAGCTGGCGACCAAGTTCGTTGCGATACACGAAACGAAGGGGAGGAGCGAGCAGGAGGCGGTGAGCAAGCTGGGGCGAATCCCAAGAGCAGGAAGGGCGCACCGGTGAATCTGGGGTCGACGTAGGAGGCGCCGGCGACTGTGGCTGCAGCCGGCGGCGGTGGAGGAAATGGCGGCAAGGTGCCGGCGGAGGAGGTATGGGCGGTGCAGCCCGACGAGATGCTCGTGCAGAAGAGGGGCGGGCAACGACGAGCCATCGCCCAACATGAAGCCGGTGCCCACCATCCGGGTCAAGGTCAACCACGCCGGCGTCACACACGAAATCTACATCAGCTCACCCGCTCGCCTTGTTTGTCCTGTCCACTCGTCCGATGGGGAGGAGCGGTGACTGATGGATAAAGTTTCCATCAGTCACCTGCTGAGGAGATATACCCATATTAATTATCTCGAAAGTTCAAAATAAATATTAATTATCTCGAGCACAGTAGTCCACTGCACATACTATTGACTTGAGCTGCTCTGCATCGCAAGAAGAAGAAGAACAAGAGGTGGCATGCATACCGCTGAAGGCGATGTCGTAGGCGGCGACGAGGCAGGTCTGGATGACGGTGTTCTCCTGGCGCGTGAAGGGCTGCTTGAGGAGGCCGACCCTCTCGATGGCGGCGGTCCAGAGGCGGACGAAGAAGAAGCCGAGGAGCCCCGCGGAGACGTTGAGCGAGGGGATGATCCCCGTGTGAGTCCCAGCTTCATCACGATGATGCTGAACATGACGGCCAGGAAGAAGCTCACCACGAAGGCGCGCACCGTCAGCTGCTCCCGCCACGACGCTCCGCGAACGCGCGCTCCACCGACAGCGCCGCGTTCCCCTCCCCCTCGGCGGCCAGCGGCTGGGACTGGGAGGCGACCCCGTCCTCCTCGCCGCCGCCGCCGTTCTTGGCAGCGGTGTGGCGGTGCCGGAGAGTGCTGGCCTCCTCCTCGACGCCGCCGGCTGCGGTGGTTTGCGGCGCCATCTCTGGTTGGCCGGCGCACTGTTCAGAGTTCTGGCCCCTATAGGCAGGCTGTGTGGACTGACTGGTGCGCGGCCTTTGAGGTGGTGGCAGTGCGTGCTGGAGAGGGGCCCACGCATCGGAAACGTTCGTTTCGAATCGGAGGGTCGAGATGGCGTTCTGGCGTCGGGAGTGTGAGACAATCTGGCTCTCATGCATAGCCGTTGACTCGCTGACCGCTGTGATTGAATATTGATACTTTGGTTTTGCTTTTTACGAAAACGATTGGATATTGATATTGATATAGGAGCAGTGTTCATTGTTTTTTTTTCTCTCTTGATGGGATGGTCTTCTAGAGGTATACTTCGATTATTTTCGTCAGTTTGTTCGATGTTGTTTTCTGTCGACTTCTATGGAGTCTCAATGTTTGATCGTAATGCACTGCGCGCTGCTGGTTGAACGTTGGAGACTGGAGATTCAGGTGATCATGGTTAAGATTTCTATGAGATAGCATTCTAGATGCAGAGGTATAGTACTTCGGATTATTTTCTTCAGTTTGTTGGATGTTTTGTGTCAATTTCCATGTAGTCTGAATGTCTGATCGCAATGGCTGCCGACCTGTCGTTGGCGCTGCTGATTAGATGTCGGAGTGTTCAAGCGGCAATGCTAAGCCATAGCTAGCTTACTTTGAGTTCTTATTGTAAGGAGAACTCCTCCAGTCCTCGTAGACTAGCTATACATGAACATGAAAGAGAAAAAAGACAGATTAATCTCTTGTACTACGATACTATAACTATCATCAATTTTGTTAGGGTTTCAGTCGATTGTAATAGCTTCTACGTGGCTCTTTTGCTGTCCATAGCTTTTAATCAGTCCTGTTACCCTTTTTTTTGTTGTGTGTCGAGGGCTTCTTTAACTCCTATTAGCAAATGTGTTCTTGTGTTGTACATAACTTGGTATGACTTGAATGAGACTCCGCACTATCAATGAGTGCTAGTTATTCTAAATCATATGAGAAAATAAAAAAGGATCGGACGTAGCACCATAAATTCATGTTTTAATATTAGCGAAATGAAAGAGAAAGGATAGGCACATTGCTATTCCTGCGTGATCATCTCGATATCTTTGCGATACCACTGTGGGCCACACGAACTTCATCGCCATGGTGTCTGCTTCAGAGTTCAAGCACACAACGATATATGACATCCTCCATGTCACGCCTTTCCATGTGGAGGGACGCCGCATTCGCTTAGACCCCTGTCTCGTCATCGCTTCGTGGTCTTGTGCTCACTACAAGTGAGTAGGACGAAGCAACTGCTACAACCGGCTAATTCATACATCCACGATTTGGAAAAGGAAAAACACATGCAACAAAACTCGACCAGGAATCCAACACCTGATCAACTTGAAACTAAATTAACTCCAACAAAACAAGAGCATGCATCCTTTCCCGCCCCCGAGCACCTGAACTCTCCTCTGATCAATGCGCACGCATTGTATCAGCCGCGTACGTCGTAACGAGGTCAAAGAAAGTGGTGGACCCATGACCGTGAGGGTATTATGGGAAAAAAGCATGTCGAGAAAATGTTTTGCTCTTTAATATTAGATAGAGATAGAGATTAGGGATAGATTAGTGTCGGATTATTTTGCTCAGGTAATATTCAGCAACATGATCGCGTAGATGGAATCAGATGGTAACACACGAGACAGAGATTTATACTGGTTCGGAGCGCGGTGCGCGCTAACCCTACTCCAGTGGTGCGGCTACTCTTGTTCGTATGCTCAATTACAGGGGTTTCTGCTCCTAGCTATGAGGTAGATGGAACATGTGGAAGATTCGATCCCGTGCCCGAGGTCTCTACCCTCCTTTATATAGGTAGGAGAGGTAGGGTTACAGGGAGGGCGATCGGTCTAGCAGATTGCGTTTCTAGTTTGTTACACGATATGCGCAACAGATTGATCCTAGCTATCGTCTAGATACACCCGCCTTGGTTTGCCTTGATCCCCACGTTGGTTGATCGCGTTAGCCCTTTCAGGCTTCTTCCTTGACGGCTGCTGGGCCGATAGCTTGGTGGTACACTACTACACAAATCTTATTTGCGGCGGGCGTTTTAGGTTTTGCGCGGCGGGCAAAGCCGTCCGCTGCGGTCCAGAGCCCACGGTAAATGGGAGATTAACATGGCGGGCGAGATATGCCCGCCGTGGTTAATTGATGAAAATAAACAAAAAAAAGAAAAAAAAACCCACTCCGGGCCTGGATATGGGCTCGGCTGGATCTGGATCGCGCCGCCATGGTGGAGGTCGCCGCCGCCGTTAGATCCACGGATCCAGCCGCCGCCAAATTCGGCCTCCACGAGCTCGCCACCGACGGATCCGCCCGCCTACCACCGCATCTAGAGGTGTGGTGGCGGGGCGGCCACACCGCCACGAGGAGGCGCGCGCGGCAAGTTGAGGAAGAGGGCCACCTCCTGTGGGAGCCGCCTCGCGCCGCGTTGCCACGCCTGGGAGCTGCCTCGCGCCCGCGACACCAGGGGGAGCCGCCTCGCCTGCGTCACGCGGGCCATGGCACGCCAGCGCCTGCCGCCCTCCACTGAAGTCTGCCAGATCCGCCGGATCCAGTGCCATCCTCTGGATTTGGCAGCCCTCCACAAGATCCAAATGCCCTCGCACCACCACGACCACCTTGCCACCATGGAGACGAAGTGTCGGCGGAGGGAGGCAAGAAGGCGCGCCAGCGAGAGGGGGGGAGAGGGCTCACCCGGCTGCTTTATTACAAGCGTGCGGGGAGAGAGAGACTAGAGAGAGAGGCGGGGAGGGAGTGTGTTGGGGGAGGAGCGCCTGGCGCGGGTCGCGACCTCGCAAGAGCGGCGTGTGGCCTCGGGGGGGGAGGGGGGCTGAAACCCTAAGTGTTGGGTTTTATACTTTCGGACTTGATGTTGGGCTTTCATTTGGGCCATATGGGCCTCGGCCTTAATCGAGGCGGGCCTCATAGGGCGTTCGCCACGGTAAATAGATTTACCGTGGCGGGCGCCCTTATACGTCCCGCCTCGAAAATACCATATTTTTCGTGGCGGACATATAAGGACGTCCGCCATGGTAAATCGATTTACCGTGGCGGGCAAAAGTGCTCGCCCATGATAAATAAAAAATGCCCGCCATGGTAAATCGCGAGCATTAACCGTGGCGAACATCCATTTTTTTTTCCGCCACGGTTATGTTTTTGGGGTGTCACGCAAAATCATTTATGTAGTAGTGGTAGTCATATATATGGGCGGTCCAGGTACCCCTGGCCCATATCTCTGACAGTAGCTCCCGTATGACTTAATGATAAGCTAGCATGTAGCTTCAAGCCCTCGACGCGTCACGGTCTCCCCTGTAAGTTCTGCGTACTGTAAGTACATAGTGAGCATCTTCGGATGCCGAAGTTCTGAGCAGTGCGCTAGGATATTCCCAAATATTGGGGAGCCAGTATGTTGCCGCTCGAGTACCAAGAGCATTTCTCGGATAGCGAGAATCTTCCTCAAGCATCGAGTGAGGTGGTGGTACACCGTACATCAAGGAACGTCGTTCCCTAGCAGCTGTAAGTGTCTGGCTCGGGTGGTGCACCCCATATTGGGAAACATAGTTTTCTGGGCGTAGCCCTCAGGACGTTGTTAACATCGCGATCTGGTGGTGTACCCGATAACCGGAAGCGTAGCTCCCAGGACATCGTGGATGCCATGCTAGGGTAAAAATCCCGACATATCTCGACATATCCATCGCGATCGGGTGGCGCACGTGGCCCGTTCCCATATGCACGTGGCCCGCTCCCGTGCGACGACATGCTGCCTCCGCTAGCCCCGCCGGAGGTCCTAGAGAAGAAGCTTGTGGCATCTCCCAAAGACGACGGGATGCACTCGCTATGGAGGTGATGCAGGCCCGACGAGGTTGAGACCCCTATGCGGCGCGGCGGATGCTCATTATCGTAATAATTTTTTTATTTTAACACTTTTTGAAAACTAATTTTAAATCTAACACTGCTTGTTTTTTTTAAACTAACACTTTTGGCCACGCCTATTGCCCTGGTGCGGCCAAATGCCTGTGCCGCGCGCATGCATGGTGGCGGCGGCGCGATTAATCGACGTGGCGACGACCGAATCGCGATCGTTGACATGGCGAGGCTCGTCACAAGAATCGAACTTGGCGTGGCAAGGCCGCCGCCACACGAACATAGCGCCGGGGCCAAATAAATATCATCGAAGCGAAACCCGCCACCAAGACGCACCGCCCACTACCACCCACCCGCCGCCCATACCGCGCCCTTACGCACGCCTACTGTGGCGTAACCTCCTAAATTATAGGGCCCACATGCACTGTCACTATCCAATGACCTCGGACGACTATGCATATGTTCCCGGTAACTTAAGAAATCATCGGGTGTCCTCGAAAACCAAATCATCCACGATTTCTTCCGAAAGCGAGATCCATTACGGACTCATTACAAAGATATACAACAGCTTTATTCAATAATTTACATCGAGTAAAATAGTAGAAGTCTTATAATAACTTAGTTACAAAAACAGTTGTTCAAACCTTACAAACCAAGTACAATTATTATTACAAACCATATAGTAGTGGAGTAGCATTAGTAACATAAAATAAAACACATAATTAAAGTGCCCCCTTAAAGGGCCACACATTTACTTGTCATCTTCGATTTGAAAACCATCATGCAAAGACGGTCCAAAGGCACACTCGCTCATGAGGCTCACCTGCAACAAGGGTTAAAGAACCCCGAGTACAAAAGTACTCAACAAGACTTAACCGACGTAAAAACGGAGAAGACTCAGAATGCAGTGCTCGGGATTCAAGGTAAGGCTTTAGCAAGAATCAAAGTTCTTTTGCGTAAAAGCTCTCTAACAAGATTCTTTCTTTCAACATTTAAAACTTCATAAAGATCATATATAAAGCTGACATGATCCATATTGAGATCATGAACTTCATATCCAACTCTTTCTCATATCTTACTCAAGTTCCATTTGTTA